GATCCTAATGATGAACGTAACTATATTTTATATCGAAAATGTACCAATAAACTTAATGGAAAAAAAAAAAGCCAGAGGAACCTTAAATACTTCTTGCTAGTGAAAGAGGCCAGTATAAAGTGCTATATTCCAATTACATAACATTATTGAAAAAGATAAACTGTAGGGATAGTACTAAGATCAGCAATCGCTAACGTTTGGGGTTTGGGAGATGACATGAGAGACCCAGAGGGGTTTCTGGGCAGCAACCCTGTGCTGCATGATTCTGCAGTGCTGAAGACAAGTCCTTGCTCATTTGCCCAAACCCATGGAACATACTACATCCAGAATGAAGCCTAATGCAGACTATGGCTGTTGGTGATGTCAATGCAGGCCCATGCATCACTGGTGAGGGCTGTGGACAATGGGGAGCCTGTGGCTGGGGGAGGGAGGAAGGAGGGCTGGGAACATGGGAAATTACAGTACTACCTGCTCAGTTTTGCTGTGAACCTAAAACTGCTCTCAAAAGTAATGTTTACTTTTTAAAAAGTGAAGCTAAAAAATAAGTATCTTTCACAGGAAGAAGAGCAAAGGGTGGGATTAAGAGCACACTGATAGGTTCACCACAAGGTACATACTCACACCATAGGTGCTACAAACGAGAAAACAGCACTGTCATGGGAACAGAACTTTAGTGTTTTGAAAATGCTTCCAAGAGGTACCTGCTGAAGTTTCCTACTTATAAAAGGAGAAGATAATTGGAGAAGTGTTAGGGAATTAGAATATAGCTGTCTGACCTTTCATGTTGTGGCAAGTTTTAAAGATGTCTTCAGTTTAGGCGAATGGACCCTTTATAACAGACAGGGCATTATGTTACTTACAGAAATGGGTTAGGAACTGCATAAGACAAGCTTCATTTCCAATTATGTTAAACATTATTAGAACTTTTATTTCATTCAGCCTTGAACATCTACATGCATTATGGAAGTTAAAATTCACTCTAATGATGTCCATGGTAAAATTTAAAAACCTGACAATAATAAATTCTTTTAAAATTACTATCCTTTTCTGTAAACTAAAAATTAACTACAAAAAAGTAAATAAATGTAAAAAAAAAGGACCTTAATAATCAACACATTAACGAAGGAACTGACACTATGTAAAAGTCACAATTTTTAGAGTTTGAAGGAAAATCATCAGAATGACCCATGCCTAGCGCACTGGAGTAATGGAGCACACGAGGGCACGAGTGACATACATTAGATCATAGAGCGGCTGCACACGCATTCCCGATACCCACCTGGCACCTTCCCTATCACCAAGGCTGAACTTTAAAGAGAGCCAGAAGGATAGAAAACCCCAGCTTCCTTCTTTCTTGTCTACTGCCCACCAAGAAACCCACGTCCTGTGCCACAGTTTACCTTTTTAAAGACCAGGCCTTCTGTACTTTTTTCCTTTAAGATAAAATAGCTGAGATGAAACAGAAGTCACTGCTTGACTTGGTAAAAATGTTTAATGCAAGTTTTTCTACTCCCTTCCAAATAGGTAGGACTGTCTAGTCAACCTTCACATAATGTCCATTCTGGGGCTTTTGTGTTTGAAAATTACTTTTAAAAAAGAAAAGAAAACATACTGCTACTACATGTATTTAAAACACAAACCGATCCCACACAGCACTGGGGACACAACTCGAAGAGCCTGTTAGCTTGCCCGAGCTGAGGGACGCTGGCCCTGACTTACTTCTCAGGCTGCCCATGCTGGGGGCAGGGTGGGTCCTCGGAGGCAGTGTGCTGTGGTAGGGTGGGGTGGTGCTGAACAGGATGTCGTTGGGCAGCGCTTGGTCAAGGATGGAGCTACGGGAACTGCCGAAGGAGGATCCCCTTCGGGTGCTGCACACACTCTCGTCAGAGAGGGTGCGGTAGAGCGACCTCCTCGGAGACAGGTTTCCGTAGAAAGAAAACTAGAGTCAAACAAGATGGGGGGGGGTAGGGGGAGGAGGGGGAGATGTTAAAAACCCGAAGGCATGGAGGACACCTAATTTAAGCTATTGGGACACCTTCTTGGAGTGTCCCTGGAAAGCTGAGCCAGGTGCCTTGGCCGTCAGAGCAGATACATCATTTCTCTGGCACATGTATGGGATTTTAATGCTCTCCTCTTTTGACATTCTGTGAAATATTATCATGAATTAGACATGCACAGCTTTATTAATTCTGAAATGTTAAATGGAACTTTCATAACCTTATAGAGGTACGCGCTCCTGGAAATATATAAGGTTGCCATTTCATGCAATACTTATTCAAAATCCCACAGTGCTAGTTTGATTTTAATTGAAAATGACTTCATTTTAATATTAGGCAATTTCTGTATCAATCAACTACATGTGTGGTTCAATCTAATCGAAATAACAAAAGTAATTTTGAACACCTAAGCTTTCTAAGCCACACGAACATGCTCAGGAAAAAATGGTTTTAGTCCAGTAAAAAGCAACTGTTCATTTAAAAGTATTACTTACAAATGTCTGCATTACAATTGCTAGAAACTGAGGTAATGGGTTATAACCAGATTTAAAGGAACCATTAAAAATACTGTTTGTTACATCTTGGATAGAGTAAGGAAAATCCTGACTACAGAAAGAAGCAAGTAAGAAAAGTTAAATCAAATCTGAAACCCCAGCTACTTCCTTTACATACCGGAACACATTCCTTTCACACAAACAATAGTAAAAGCCGGAATGTTCACATCAGACAAATATAGAAATGGCTATTTACATTTGCAAATGCGGCAAGAAGACTAAAAATATTCCCATTGTATGGGTCTCTTCCATTCTGTCAGGCCATTCCAGCCGGGGAACGGTAATTGCAATGTGTGTGCACTAGAGTTACATCTGTACTAGGAAAAGGAGGTGATTTGTCTTAGAAGAACAACATGTCAAGAAGTTGTTCCTACTAAAAGGAAAGCTATTTGCACTCTGCACAATGGTCTGCCTTGCACCCAGGCTTATACAGTACCCCATCCATGATTTGGTACAAGTTACAAAAACAACTCAATGTGGAGGAGTCTTGGGGGAGCCCTTCACACTCACCAGCAAGCTGCTCAGAGTGTGACCAGGGGCGTGCTGATGCAAGTGTGTGCAGGCAGCGCCTAGAGAGGCTGGTCTAGGAACATAGTGTGATGGTGGCAATGTCCACACCATCCAGGCAGCAAGGCAACACCTCGTCTCTCATTCTCTTCCCACTTGAGTGAGAGGAGAGCTGTGCTACATGTGAGAGGGATTCACTCCTGACTCCCACACCAGAGGCTTCCGTGGCTTCCTATTTCACCATCTGAAATACTTGCAAGAAAGGGTGCCTGGGCTAAATTACCTAAGCTCCTTCTACTACTCTGCATTATTTTAAAAAATGGCTTAAGAAACTACAATAATAAAGAAGCTACAACTAACCAGCCTTAACAATAAGTAACAACACCTAGAAATTGCTGTGCTGTGATGAAGGTGTGCTGCTGAGCACCAGTGGGCTACGAGGAAATTCCGCCTTCTCAGGGCCTCCACATTGGCCTAGTTCTGTGTGTGAGGCCGAGCAGACAGGGCCAGGATGGACCCTGGTCCATTCAGGAACAGGAGATGTCTGGGAATGGCCCATGTGGGCCATAGATTGGAGCTTTGGAACAAAGGTCAGGTGGTGTGAATTCCAGTGGCAGCTCCATCCAGGCACTGTGCTAGGCTTACCACATGTCACTTCCTGTTGCCCCCCAACTCTGGAACACAGTGACTATTATCTCCTTCTATGAGATGGGGACACTGAGGCCACCTCAGTCATGTAGCTAACCATACTGGAGCTAGGATCTGAGGCAGGTGGGGCTGCCTGGCTTTCAGCTCTACCTGAGAGAGGAGGCTGCCCCCCCAAGGCTTGGTCCTGGCAACCCCGGAAATGGCCAAGCCTGCACTGACCTGCTGGAGTACCAAGGGGGACGCCCTGTGGGAGGACCCAGACACCCCTGAGTTGCTTTAGACTTGCTTAATTTAGTGTTCCTGGTAACTAACCTTTCTTCTCCCTTCCTCCACTAAGGGGCTGTCAGGAAGCATCAATTTCAGAAAATCTTCTTTGGACAAGACATGCTGAGTTTCTGAACCGGCATCTCCCACGGCAGTCTGACACTGAGTGGCTGTGGCCAGGACGTCCATCTCACTGTACATCCTGGTAGGACAAATCAGAGTGGAAACTCAGGGGCAGTGGCCTGTGTGCGGACAGTTTCACCAGCACACAAGCAGGCACACAGTCCTTAACCATTAAGTCAGCTCCTCACTGTGGCCACATGGTCACCTGTCCCGACACCATGTCACATCTGTGAGATGAGCTCAGTGGCTGAGTTAGACTCCTGAATAATGCAGAAACAAATTGAATCCTCAAAGCCCAGAGGAGAAAAAAGTATACCAACCCTTAAAACAAGTTCATGTTTTCCCTTTCCTAAACTGTGTCAGAGAACAGTCGCAATAATTCATCAGGGGCTATCAGGTCTTTTGAGCAATGCTGTGATCTGGAGACTTGGCTCTCCTCTCCTGAGCCCCAGGGAGCCAGCCTGACACTCTCAGGATGCAGAGAGAGAGAGAGAGAGGGTGCCCGAGGAGCCTGGAGAAGAGGAGTAATCAGTCCAGGCCTGCGCCAAGCATGTTTTACTATCAGTAATTTCACAAAACTGGGTAAGTAAAACAGTTGTCTCCCTTGATTATTAGGATGTAAAAATATATTTAAAGACAATGAAAGACTGTCAAGCTGAATTACTGATCCCAGCTCTTTCCTGAGAGAAAGCTAGGAGTCACTGTGCAAAGGTGCACTGCGTAAGTGCAATCCAAGCATCCAAACGCTCCTGACAACACGCGGTAACCTGGCTGGACTGTCAGCACAGGCGCATGGTCTGCACCGCACAACCTGAAACATAAGCCTTCAGGAGGTCATAGCTGTGGGGTGAGCTGTAGAGAATGATCCGCATGTCACTGTCACATGCCCCAAGAGGCCTCTATTTCAAAAGCAAGACCACCCTGTCACAGTATGATAGCTGTCTCGGGAGTTATCAGAATGAGAACATTAGAAGTAAGAGGATTTATGTGGGCATCTCTCCATGGCTTCTGTATTGTTCCTGAGGTGGGACAGGTCAGCCCCTGCCCCTCAGATCTGGAAGCACAGGCAATACTGACAACGTGAGCAGCCAGCGGCCGTGAAGACAGCTCTCCAAAACATGCAGCACAGCTTTCCTGTAGAGCGGTTGCTCTGTGGGGTGGTGTGGCATCAAGGTGGGGGCCACCAGAAGGACCTGGGACCGTGGAAATCCTTTACACAAGCCTCCTCCTAGCGAGGTACTCACCTAAACACGGTGCTCACCACAATGCCTGAAAGGCTTCTAAAATACTTTGTAGAACTTAAAAAGGCTTGGGATGAATTACTGTGAAGCACTGAGAAACAGTGTTAGAAGGATATATACATTTTTCTAACATTTGCATTTATAGTAAAAAGGTACAGCATAAAATTCTTTCCTAAACAGCTCATTTGTATTCATTTTAAGTCAAATGAGTGATACTAGTTCATGGACCAAATTTAAACTCTCTAGGGTCTCTTCTGGAAAGCCACAGCACACCCTGCAACTTCTAAAACTAGCACTCTCCATGCCTGAGGACACGATTGGTGCGCATAGCAAGGCAGTAACCTGGTAAGCAACAAGCAAACCACCATAGAGTGAGCAGAACCAGCCTGGCTCTGCACTCCTGAACTGTGGCTTCCCTGTCTGCCTCTGCACAGAGGTGTCAGCAAGGATCTCACACTGTCACCCAGATACCAAGCATCTTCCCCACCTGCCCCACAAATCCTCACACCTGAGACAGAATCAGGCAATGCTCTTTATTTTGTGCTGTCACTTATGAAGGCACATCAAGAAGCATACTAACCATGGAATTCAAACTGCTCTTGACCAGCCAGACATAGGGACACATGCCTGCAAGCCTAGCACCCTGGGAGGCTGAGGTAGGTAGGAGGATCCCAAGTTTGAGTCCAAGCTAGGTAACTTAGTGAGACTCTGGCTTAAGATTAAAAAAATAAACAAAACCAGGTGAGGATGCAGCTCAGGGAAAGGACCCTGGGTTCAATTCCTGGTACCATAATAAAATAAAGCACTGCCCTTGACCTTGTGTAATGGCAGAAACTATACTTTTACCATCGACAGCATATCACCATAACTTTTCTATAGAGAAGAGGCAGCTGTTTGAATATTGGAAGAGTGGATATTTTCCTTTTATGTAAAAAGTAAGAAATATGAAGATTTTAAAAGAGAAATGTAAATCTCACCAAATTTAAAAAAAACATTTCTACATCATTTTAAAAAAACTATAATTCCCTTAAGGGGAAATACAGTTGCTCAGTCAGTCCTGAAAATGCAAGATACTGCTCAGAGGACAGCCAGCCACCTTACCGGGGACACTCAGTCACTTCAGGCTCCTCAGGAGGAGGACTGTCTTCTGACTTCTTCCAGCCGATGACATATTTGTTTGCTGCCCCTTGTCTGTGGTAGGACTTGGACCCGGGAACCTGCTGACTGCTGCTGTGTGACACGATGTAGACTTTGGATGTATCCAGAGATCCACTGTTTTTGGAACAGTGTGCTGAAGGGCTTCCTGAGTGGTGAGAGCCACTGAAGAAAGACAGACAGAAGTAGCAAAGCTGCCACACTCAGCAGCGTGGAGCACACAGTTGGGTGCGAGGCTATCCTGGTCCTCCTCTGGGCACGTGGGGCTCAGAGGGGCAGGGCAGCCTTCTTTCCACCCCTCAGCGTGTCAGATGGCCTCATTCTACAGAGGCAGTGGCTGCTCACATGTGGGTCAGTGACAACACACATACAGGGACACTTCAAGAGAGAGGACATCCAAACAGTGGTCAAATGTAAGGAAAGGCGCTCAGCCTTAGCTGTCACCAGGGAAAGGACAGTGCATGCCACACAGAACACTAAGAGAGGCAACAAGGGGAGTGCGAGATAGCACCCACCAATCTGGAGTCAGTCGGGACCCAGTGCTGTGGGGGGGGGGGATGTGTGCAGAGCAGCTTGGTGTTACCCGTGGAGGTGCACAAATGTAGAGTCACCCAGTGACTCTACACCCCAGTGTGCACACACAATGCACCTGGCTCATGTGCAAGAGGGAGCATGCGTGTTGTGGACAGGAGACTGGTCAAGTCCCCAGGGGTCACAGTGGGTGCCCAAAGTCACAGCAGACTTAACAGGCTGCATTTGTGTGGGTTATTCACAGCCCCTGACGTCACCCACTTGCACATTTTTGAAAACATGTAGTACATGATAGTATGAACTGTATGTTTTTTCCATTTGCTTTATGAAAGGTATTTTTCTAATTTAGACTTCATTAAAATGGTCTTTTATCCCACTAGTAAAAATGTTAAAGTTAACTCTGTCTGATCAGTAATATGGTACAAATTTGCTTAGTAGCAGTAACATTATCAAAGCTTTCTGTGCAGCTGGTAAACACTCCTGAATGTTGGCGATAAACTTTTCATGAATCCTTTTTTCTGCATCCCCATGTTAAGAGTTATATTGCCAGTTTCTCCACTCATTTCTATTGAGGGGCACAGTGACATGAATAATGGTAAACAACAGAATAGCACATGAGCCCTTTACCAGAGAATCCAGAACATGGATTTTCTTTTTTTTTTCCTCTGCAGTTGATTTATCGCACTTTCTAACACTTTAGTTAGACTAACATGAGTACTATTTTGTATTCTGAGCCTTTATCTAAGTGCCCTGCCTGCAAAGGAAGAAAAAATATTGTGTTTGGTGAATTAAAGGGCTGAGCACCAGGAGAAAGCAGGGTAGACACACGCTTGTTCGGCTTCCAGGATGAGTGCTGCCTCTCCTGCTTTTCCTCACACATGTGCAGCTGCTGCTCCTTCCCTTCCCACTAGAGTCCTGGAATCACATCATATGCACAGTTCCATGCACACTTCATTCCTGATGACAGCTGGGAAGAATGTTGTGTTGGGGTGGGAAGTGAGGGCTGCTGATGAAAACCCAAAATTAAGAGAATCAGGAGGGTTCCTCATGCTGCCAGGGCTCTGGCACTGTGACCTGGGAAGACCAACCCCACGTTCCTCTCACTTCCTCTGACACTGTGACCCAGGAGTGGTGACCATGCTCCTTCTGAATTGGGAGGGCTGACCCCATGTTCCTCTGATCCCTATGCCCCAGTCACCCAGGCATCAGTGTATTAACGCCACCCATAAGTATGTAGTACACACTCTGGTTCCCTTCTTCACTCAGCAAGCACTCAGACGCCTACCAGGTGTGGGGCTCTAACTGGCACATATACAAATGGACAAGACAGCCCATGTCCCCATCTGCGTCCTCACACTATGCTTGTTGATGGGAAAGTACTGATGAGAATCTGGGTGGGTGGGGGTAAACAGTGAGCATGGGCTGGGTGCTGGGGGTGGGGTAGGGATAGAGTGCTAGGCACCGGTGGTGACTTTAGTCAGGTTGACCATCTACCTTGCCCTGAAAGAGATTATTTTGCCTCTTGGGCTATTCCCAATGATAACCTAGACCCTCAGGCAGTGGGCCTCTGCTCTGGGGTGACCACATATCAGCCTAAAGTGGGTGAAGGGGACATGCCTGCCCTGACTGGGCCAGGCATTGTAGTCTGCAGAATTTCCACAGGACTGGATGATTCCTTGTGCTCAGGGAGTGAACCACACACAGACAGCAAGGCAGGACTATAAATGTTATCCCCAGCCCCCAACCCCCATTTCCTGCAGACAGGAAGTACTAAAGATTCCCCTCAAAGACTGAATTCCACCTGGAGCAGAATCCTACACCCCAAGTTGAAATGTGGCTTCAAAGTCACTATCATCATCAACTGACAAGTGTGAGTAAAGGGCAGTCAAGTGACACAGGACTACCTTACTCAAGGCCTAGCATTTGCACCACAGCTGGGGATGCACCTGTGTTAAAGCGGTGGGAGGAAGGAAAGTCAATGAGAAACCCACCCAGGCACTTCCGTGAGCTTTTCTAACACATTAAATTAGTGAATGTTAAGGTATTCAAGGAAATTCTTTCAAATGCCCATAAATATCTATTCCTCTATTTCCATGCTCTGAAGGCAGTTTCCACAGAACTTTTACTTATTAGCAATACAAAGCTATCCATGATACCAGTTACATTAGTCTAAGAAGATACTGTGAAATAGTTGTTTTACAGTATTCCTAAGCTTTGAATAAGATGGCAGAAGGTTGCAAAACACCAAAAATGTCCCCATTTTTAACTGCCCATGAAATTGAGAGAGGAATAATTCAGTAACCAAGTTTACTGATTTAATACTAGAGTTACACTTTAAGTCAAATTATTAAACAAATTGGTAAACAGGATGAGGAATACTTTGAAAATCCTAAACTCCTCCCTTTGCCTGGACAGAAGACTGAGGAGTCCACTGTCTTCAGTCCATTCCCTGAGCTCATTTCTTCTGGCCAGTGGCCATGGTCACCACTGCTCAGCTGTCCGGCTTGCTGGGACAGACTCCAGCGCAGCACAGACTTCGACTGCCCTAAGCAATGCCTCCACCCACAGCAATTAAAGCCAAGGACACAAGAGGATTAGGAAAGGCTGGGGAGGAGGGCAGGACTTGTCTGTTCGGCAGAAGCCAGAGAAGAGCCACTTTCTGCCTGAGGACAGTGGGGCCCAAACATAGTCTGCAGGTGGCACAGTGGTATAGCCTCAGGAACACTGAGGTTTCAGAGGGCTGTCACACAGACCCTAAGGATGGGGGACCCAATCCTAAGCAATACCACTGGAGCTGCTGGGTCATGTGAAACACTGAATGTTTTGGAATTCTTGGTTGCATGAGCCAAAGTTCCACGTTAGTTGTGTGGTCGGTTAGTGTGGAGTTTTCTCTGGTAACATACATGCCCCTGAACGACACTCAGTGTCTCTGAGCAGCGGCCTGGGGAGGACAGGAAGAAGGTCCCAGGGAGGGCTCTGCAGGCAGGAGCTGAAGGGGTCTGTCCTCACAAACTCTACAGGCTGCTGGGTGCCATCCCCTGGAGAAATGCCCACATGGCTGTAGGGCTGGAGGACTGTTCTCCTATGAGGTTGTCCAACTCTGCCCAGCACTCAGAGAAGTTATGGTAAGTCAGACAGAGGGGTGGAGCCACAGAGAAGGACTGGAAGACAAGGAGATTGACAGCTCCAAGACTTTGTGAGTAGTAAAATCCTGCCCACAGACAAGCCAAATAAATGTATTTCTTTACCTCAACTTTGGAAGTGAAGGCTGCAATCACAAATTATGAGGTTTAAAACCAATGTGCAGGCTTATGTCAAGTGGGAAGTTAAAACCACTCAGAGACAAGCATTAAACATCCATACTTAGAATACAGTTCCATTACATTTAGCTACTCCATTTAAAAAGCCCCAGATGCCAAGCTGAATACAGGTTCTTGGTCACACTAAGAGATGCAATCTCAGGAGCAGGCAGGGCCGGGGATGCATCCACACAATGGGAGGGAGCCCCAGCGTGTGACACCTTTGCGCCTGCCCCCACACTCTGAGTTTATGCCTCCTCTCTAAAAGATGTGGGGGTAACACTGCACTGGGAGACGTCAGTGGCCCAGCTGGAGCAACTAATCTATTTTTTCTTCAAATTTTCCCTAATCTTTTAAATTTTCCCTCAAGTTTAGAAAAAAGGGGAAAATAAAATCATTAACACATGACTCAACATGCACAAACTGATAATTTGATTCTGGAAACACTTTCTCTGCAGACAGCGGGGCAAACACTGACAACTGGCCTCCAGCCTGCCCCTCATTCTCAAGTATGAAGGGCCCAAGGCACCGGCACAGGCAGTTCAGAGTAAGCAGCTCACCTGGAATGAGAAGAGATCTCGCTGAGGTCACCCATGCTGCCATCAGCAGCCCCACTGGTGGAGATGCCAGAAGCATAACCGTGCACAGCGTACATCTTGGCTGGTTCTTCATCAGGCCCCGAGGCTTCAGCCTCATCAGCCCACTGTTCGGCCCGACTGTGGATAAGGGACCTGCTGCCCGCCAGGTGCACGGGGCCCAGGATGGTGGCTGGCATGCAGGGGGCCGTGTCAATGCCACTGTCTGTGGATGCCCCTTTGATGTAGGTCAGCCCCAGCAGTTCTGGGTCCATCAGGTCCCCTGACCCAAAGTGCTTGTCATCACTGTTGCTGGAGGTGTTACTGGATAGCGTGTTGCTGCTGGAGTGACTGGAGCAACTCTTGTCTCCGATCTTGAGAGGAAAGAGGAACAGAAGTGCCCCCAGGTGAATCCTGACTCAATGCTGCTTGCTCCAATGGTATAATCTGCAGTCTCGCCCAATCCCTCTACTGAGTACTACATGGACAGTGACAGAGTTTCTTTTCTTTGAAACAGCATGCATACAAGTCCCTGCCTCATCACTACTCCTGTAATTTGAGTTAATGGGCACCTTTTTCTTTGGTCTTTGTTCAATTAGTGGTGCATGAAACACAAGGGCCACAGCATCATTAATAAGAAAGTAACCAACTACGCTTACGATGGGAAGCGACATGGGCAATTAACCACAGGAGAAGGGTAGCATATATCATGAAAGTATCTTGACAACTGTAGTGCCAGACCTGAGTTTGGGGCAGGAGACCCAGGTTTGAACATAACTGGGGGACTTGGGGTCAGTCATGCACCCTTTCTGCAGTGAGCTGAACTGCAACTGTGGCTGCTGCGTGCATGAAACAGAGTCATGTGCAAGAAACACTCTGCAGCCACAAAGCACCACGTAAACAAGAGCAAGCCCTCCCAGGGGGACCCAGCCAAGTTCTGTCCCACAGACTAAAGAGATGGGGCTCTCTTCAGAGTGAAGAGATCTGGAAAAAGCTCGGCTTGGATTCCAGATGACAAAAGCAAACAGAACAGAATAAAAGTCCCTGTCTGTTAGTGTGCTTGGACAGACATGGCTCTCACCATAGCCTGGAAAGTCAACAGGATGTGAACACCAGCCAAGGGGTTTGGGAGCTGAGGAGAAGCTACACCTGGGTGGTTTCAAAGTGACTTGGCCTTTTTTCCTCTCATTCTGTCCTATCAAATCTGTAAGTAAAACCCCGTCATTTCAGTCATACACTGATGTCCTAAAGCCCATGCCTGGGTCCTGTCTCCCTCTGCCAGAAGCCCCATGTGAGAATTGCAGAGGTGAATGCGAGTGGACACAGCTAAGGCTAAGGCTGACTCAGAACTAGGCCATGGCTCCAGGAAAAATGCCACACAAGTTTGCTAATGACACCTGAAAAGCTCAGTGATGATGGGTGAAAGAAACAATAGGAGCTGATAAAGTCTGTTCACCTGTACATTTTCAAAAGCAATTTCTTCAAAATGTTGGTTTTCTTTGGCAAGAACCAATGAACAATGTCTTTTTATTTAACTGGAAGCTTCCTTTCAAGGAGGTACAGTCTCCATGAGGTCTCCTAGCACCTTCACAAGGGTGGAAGAGGCAGCGTGTATGAGGGACGGAGGACATCCCGTGGAGTGGCATTAGCACACAGGTACATCAGTGGTTGCTGCAGATGCACAGTGTTCCCTGTGAGCAGCCTCTGCCCACACATGCCCTTCAGTGTCTTTTCTGGCCCACACCACTCAATAGATGAGTGGTTATTAGCACATCAAATGTGGGGACAGAAATTCCTAAATACCAGCCTGGACACTAAGGTTCAAAATGCAGAGGTATAATCCTGGCTCTTCCAGTAATCTGCTGTCTTAAGACTTTTCTTTGAGTTCCTTTATAAATAATGGGAGCCCAAACAATTGCCTTTTCTTTTATCACTTTTTCTCTAAGAGCCCTGAGTGGTAAATGGCACATCCTCAAGCACTGCAGGCACATCTGAGCCCTACTGTGTGCTGGGATATGCTGTGTACCCTGGGCACTGCCAGAAGGTATGCTGCCCTACTGTGCATGAAGGTGCACATGCTGCCTTACTGTGCAACAGTCCTGACAAACCGGGAAACTGCTAGGAACAAAAGACTTACATGAGAAAGCTTATTGGGAGAATCTTTGCAACTTCCGTCTTTCTGCAGGGCTCTTTCTTTGTAGGTGTTGAGGATTTTGGAAGGTGGGCCATGCCATTTGGATTCTGTCACATAAAGAGAGGAAAGTTGAATTCCCAACTTCAGGTGGTACCAAAAGAGTAACCAAAAAAAGGAATCAAATGGTCCTGTGAATGTAGAATTTCCAGTTCCATATGCCAGAGGATATACCCCAAGAGTGGACAAAATCAGCACAGAGTAAATCTTTCATTTCCATGAATACCACAGACATAGCCAACCACAGTCAACCACAGCCAATCATAGCCACCCATAGCCAACCACCGCCATCTATATCCAATCACTGCCATTCATAGCCCACCATAGCCAGTCCATAGCCCAGAGCAATCCACAGCCAAACCACAGCCATGCTGCAGCCAACCACAGTCAACTATAGCCACACCATGACCACTCAAAGCCACACCATGCTACTCACTACTACACCAAAACCATACCACAAATACCTACAACCACACCACAACTACCCACAGCCACATCCTTTCTTTACTGGAAACCCAGCCGATCACCTCAGCCTGGTGCAGAGGTGCTCCCCAAACATGAACTGAGAGAATGGATGAATGAATGAATGGACAAATGTGTGGTAGCACAGAAAGGGCTATGAGGGAGAGGGTAGCAGGTCAGCACTGCCTCAGGATTCCATGTTACCTGTAAGCCTGGTTCCTTCCATGGCATCCTCATGCTCCCTGGCCCCGTCACACTCCAGAGGGCCTGGGCTCTGGTGCTCTAGCAGTACAGGAGACTGGCACCTGGAAAGAATGTAGCGATTAGCCTGTCCTTGCTAAGTCACCTTCCAGCAGGGGACAGGCGTGCTGGTTTCCACAGAGGCCATGCAGTGTGAAGCTGCCTTCTGGAATATGGAAATGCAGTGTCCTTGGCCCAATCCACCAGAGAAGTTAGAGAGCATCAAGTTAGAGATCTACCACGGGGTGGACAGAGGATGACATTTCTCACAGATACAGAAATGGCCGTCTGGGGCCAGACACCATCTCCAGCAACTAAGGAAGGGCTTACTGTTCTGGATTTTGTTTTCCTTGTGTCTAATGCACACAGCACTGATACATCTGTGTTATTAAAATTGTTTTAAAGAAAAGAAAAAATGATTGACTCTAGATTATATCCAAGTGGGCTCAGTTTATAGACCCCCAAAATGGTACAATGTTAGAAAAGGAATATATAAATCAAGGAAACTGTACTCACATTAGAATGTGATTCTTATTTACAGAATCCAGGTTATAGAAAAAATACAGAAATTTCAATTTATACAAAAAGAAAAGAAAAAAACCAAACATTCCCCCTCTGTTTAATATGCAACTAATTAGGAAAAATTACTTGACATACATATTTTAAGAACTCTGTTATCTACAGACTACGTAAATATCTACTTCTAAGCCCAGACCAGAAAAGCTGGGTTCCTGGGGATGAGGGCACTGTTGCCAGTGACCCCATGGACCCACCACCCTCTGTTTCCTCTGGCAACCAGCTACTTGCACCCCATCACTCCATCATCAGGTTTGGCCAGGTCACTGCTGCCAGGCAGACACCACTCTCCACGAGTCTACACCACACCTGCCTGCCCTTCTCGCCCTGGCTTTGGGGTGATTTCAGTGTCTCTATTTACAGGAACCCCCAGACCTTCAGCCTTCAACAGGAAGAAAAGGTTTCCTAACACTGACCCTGCTTCTGTTTCCTCCTTGGCAATTCCTATGAGGGTAAAACACCCAATGGGCTCTGTTGTAGAATCCCCAGATCTATAACTTTCATGTACAGAAAGCCTTCCTTATCAAAGGAAAAACCAGGCTCGGAACAAAGGCCAGTGAGCTCTGCCCACAGGGAGACGATGAGCTTACTAACTGGGACCTGTCACTTAATGAAAGCACATCAGGGATTTTCAAGTTCCCCAAATGGTCTCCTGCATAAGCAGGTGCACAGCAAATGCTGTGGAACAAGTCACAGACAAACATTCCGCCCAAGGAGACAGGAAGGCAGAAACAAGCAGTACCCGTCATAGCCCACTTGTGGTCTCCAGGGTCCACTCCCGCCGGGTCCTGGGTCACTGGAGGAGGACTGGTTGCTGGGAGAACTTCTGAAAGGAGGACATAGTTATCACCGGGGCACCAAGCCACCTGCCAGGCACTTTGACCTGCTTGCACTATTTTACAAACAAATTTACTTTGACTATGAAAAAGGAGGAAGAAAAACACACTGCAGTGCAAAAAAGGGTAAATCACAGACAAATAAACTAAAAATCTGGGATGCTCTAAGACTTAAGTTGATTTATGGTTTGCAGTTTATCTCAAGAAAGAGACACAATGGGGCAGGTCTTCTTAGTCTAAAGTCTTAAAGCACAGAGTGATCCTTCCTGTGCAATATGGAAAATCAGGAATACAACCCCAAAGAACATACAATTATGAAGACATCATTAACTCAAGTTTCCCAAAATTTAAGCCAAGTTATATGTTGGCTCTACACCTAGAACCTATGCAGAAAGCAAGACCGAAATTTGGCAAAACCACTTATTTTGATGCGATCCTATTTATCTTTGTTTTCAGACACACAAAGTGAGTGATATTTATGAGAGCTTGATGAGATGTGCTTGTTAGCTTCTTTGGCTACTGGACTCCTCCTGGTTTTCCCGGAATTTCCTAAGCTCTACTTGTTAAATTCAGGAGGCTGTGCAGACTCCTTCCCTCCAGGTGCTGCTTGGCAGCTGCTCCTCTCACTATGTACATTTTTGAATGTGGGGAGCTCATCACCCAGAAACATTTGAGTAAGGAGACACAGAGCCAAAACAACTTTATATCAAATTAAAGTACTTTGAGTCCACTCTGGAAGGATGCATGGAGCAGGCAGAGGACGATCACATGTTCCAGTCTCACTGATTTTGGTTAATCCTCCCAGAGCTTACTGTGTGCCACACCTGGTTCTAGGCAATCCACCTGTAACAATGCCCTTAGTTCTCAGAATGCCCTGATGAGGTCTGACCACTACTCTTTATTTGCCAAATGAGGAAACCGGGCAGCCTGCTCCCTGGTGTACAGCAACAGTTTAACAGAACAGGGTCTGACATACTTCCTAAGGAAACTCATGCATCTCTGTGGACAGACGTATGTGAAAGTGCAAACAAAGGGAGCAGGAATTAACAACCATACTCAAGAAGTTTCAGTTTTCTGCCCTTAAAATGACCTGTGCAAAGTAGGCACCCCAAATTCTCACCAGTTTCTAGTGTTACTGGACTCAACATTTAACAAGTGTATTTTGTTCACTGAAAAATGATTCTGAACATGCCTGTAATCCCAGCACTCTGGGAGGCTGAAGCAGAAAGACTGAGTTTGAATCCTGGCTGGGTGTTGGGGATTGTGTTTGGATGTCCCCCCAAAGCTTCATGAAGATGAGATGGGGCTTTCTCTTTCGGAGGTGGCTGGGTCTGGAGTGTGTGATGCTGGGATTAAGGGTGTGTGATTACTAAACCACTACACGAGAGTGACTGGTTTGGGACTGCCCTAATCCTGGTAGTCTGGATGGAATAAAAGGAGCAAAAGACTTTGTTAAGCTCTCTTGTGGCTTTTGCTGCTTTGCGGCCATGAACTGTTACGCATCTGCCAACCCTGCCTTGGAGCCAGCCGATTATGAGCTGAAATCTCTATGAGCTGTAAACCGAATAAACCTTTTCCCCTTTAACTTTGGGTGTTGGGTGTTGTGTCTCAGCAATGAGAGAGAAAGGTAACTAACACACTGGGCAAGTGAAACTGTCTCAAAAAAAAAAAAGGCTGAAATGTAGCTCAGTGGGAAGGCCCCGAATTAAATCCTATGTACCAATAAACAAATAAATAACAAAAACCAAAAATCTAGCTGATTAACTTTAATTCTATCTACAATTCCCCACTGCCATGTAAACAGACATATTCATGGGTTCCAGAGATTAAGATGTGGAAATCTTTGGGAACCACTCTGCCTGCCACATATAATCAACTAAGTATGCTGGGATTACTTACTCCTTATTCTAAGAATCTTTGCGTGTTTAAAACCCAGACTTTGAGAATCAGCCACTTATCAGATAAAAATATAAAACAGAATAGAATGGAAGCAAACTACAGAAGTTAACCAGCCATATCAATATTTATATTAAACTCTATTGGGAAAAAAATCAATCTTAGACCCACTCAATTCACTTTGCTCAGGATGAGAGAGAAAAGCAAAGTGCTAATAGTGCTGGTGGCTCTTAATGCACCACTTGCACTGAGATGATGAAATTTCATCATTCATGCTTTGGTTTTAATTTGCACCCAAACGTGTATATGTCTTTCTAAAGGCACATGCAGAGGAGTTGTGGAGTTATGTTCCCCAAGGTGGTTTGGAGACCTGGCTGACAGGGAGGGCAGGTTTCTGATGAAGAGGGCAGCCTGTGGTCTTGGTGGGCAGGACAGTATTGTATCAGCACTCATCAGGAGCAGGCAAGGGCAGGACTATGAGCACCACCACATTTGAGGGCCCCACCCACCACCCTGCCTGGCAGCGCTCAGAATAAGCTAATGCAGAAGTGGTCATACCAAGTATAAGGCCCTCCTGACATTTTGCCATTCTGGCCCATTCCCAATAGGCAGTGGCATTACCTGGTGCCATCAGGCAGCTTCCGGTCAAATGAGGTGCTGCGGGGAATGGCAGCCTGGGCCTGCTGGAGCAGCTGCTGGCACTGCAGGCGGTCGGGTGTGCCAGGCACAGGTGAGGCTCGAGAGAGGGGCTGCAGGGCAGGGGTGGGCACGCGGTGCCATGCGTTGTTCCTCCTGAAGGGGGTCTTGTACTCACAGGGTGCGCCCTCGCTGTCTAGCTTGTATTCCACCAGGGGGACACGGCAGAGCTCTGAGCACCCTCTGTGGGGCCAAGAAGAGATGGTGAGAAGGTGGGGCTTGGCAAGGCTTATCAGGGCTGTGCCCACCCATGCACATGGCACCGTGTGCACTCCTTGGGGTCACTTTGATGGCATGAAGCCACCACCCTGAGCAGCATCTCACCCACAGTAAAATACTGTTCCCTGTGTGTTTCTGAGTATTTGTTTCCTTTTCTGCCAGCAACCAGAGCTCAGAGATTAAGATAGGGTGCTGGGATTCCATCTGGCTGCCAGGGGGCTGAGGCCTCACCAGGCTGGAGAGGAGCTGGGTGGCTGTTGGCCTGACTGTGCAGTCACCAAAGTGCTCAGCTCCCAATGCCTCTCGGCACTGTAGGCTAAGTGTCTGAAACATACTTGTGGGGAAAACAAGTGCCATGCAAGGTAAGGAGGAGTCAAAGCCCAGAGATGCTGAACACTTGCTCAAAGTCACACAGCAGGACTCTGCTGGACTGGGGGCCACAATCCAGCTTCCAGAGCCAGAAATGGGATGCCTCATGCCAGTGTGATACACATTTAGAGAGAATGTAAATACCAACTTTCTGGTTTGTGTTGAGTGTCATGTGTATGCTCAGGCTCATCAAACTTCACGCTGTGCATGTGTGTAGTTTACTATTCAGCAATCACACCTCCATCCAACTGTAAGAAAACACTTATTAGACAGAAAAGCTCCCATCTGTCTTGTTGTTTTGTGCTGCAAGGGACCCTTGGGTTCGGCTCTACATGACAGTGGTCAGTCCATCCAAGGACTGGAAGGCCTAGAGCAGGCCAGGTGACCAGAGCACTAGTGTCAGCATGCGGGCTTGGTGGGTCCCAAATGGTTTCTCTGTCTTTCTCTAACTGCAGTTCTTCCTTACAAAATCCAGCAGATTCACCCTCCTAAGTGCTTGTTATAGTCCTAGGCCACAGTCCACAGCCTTTGCGTGGCGCCAACTTCCCCACAATGCCTCCAGGGTCAGCGGCCACACAGCCACCACTGGCCGTGAGGCACCGAGCTCCAGACAAATGGGCAAATGGGACAGAGGGAGTCTATTTTCTTTTTTCATTAACTTAAATTTGAAAACTGATACTCTGATTCATTTTCGTAAAGTATGTCAGGCATAACTGGGGTATGTGAATCTACTTTTTTGACTATAAATTTGATAAAATCTCAATACAGCAAGTATTTAAGATGAAAAATTAACATTTGAATGCAGATATATTATAATAAATGTTAAAAATACAAACTACCTCACCACAGTTTGGCACTTATTGGATGCTGAAATGGTGATATCTTGGAGATGGCAGTTAAATGTTACTACAGTCACCACATCACAGCCCCCAAGGTTACCTCTCGACAGTTTGTTCATATGTTCACACAACCTGTCAGGCACTCATGACACTTCATTTGGAAGACCAGGATTTAAGGCAGATGTCCCTGAGTCTCCCACTCACCTCAGTATGCAAAGAGCACATAGACCTGCTCTGAGCCCATGAAGGCACCAGTGCAGTGCAGCAGCACACAGGAGCAGGCAAATCCCAACTGCAAGAATTCGGGCACATCACTATACCATGTGGGTGAAGCACTTGGCACCTAAGCCAGGCATCCCAGCTCAACATAAACACTGCTGATATTTTCCCTTTCTTTTGACATCTGCTAGAGTGAGGTACTGCTATTGTAAAGAACTTACTTTCATGATCATTAAGAGTAAAAGCATTTCAGGCTCTGAAAAATCACAAAAGAACAAGGAGAACAAGGAAGAGAACCAACTCCAACTGAACAAAACATGGAGATACCTGTGACTAAACTATGGTATATGAATTCAGATGAAAACCACAGCAAGGCATATAGCAGAGTCCATGAAGGTAAAGGCCAAGGGTGTGAGGAGGGGAGATCACAGGGAACAAGGCTGCTCCTCAAATAACCCCTAAGGGGGAAGGAAAGAAGGGAAGCACCAGGCACAGCAGGAAAGCAAAGTCAATAAACAAGGGGAAGAGGACTAAAGACTTGGGCTCCTTAGAAAGTCAGGCACAGAGGAAGCTCTGCCCTGGGCAGTGTGACAGTCCTCTCCCCTCTCCAGGCTTTCATGGAGGGCACACACCCCAGGCCTGAGGCACAAAGGAGAGCAGGGAGGAAAGGAAAAGGCTGAGTCAAAAATGTCTCTAAGATGAAACCCCACTGTGGAATGCTTTACCCCCAAGACATGTGAAGATCAGGGCTCTGGCCAGAAGACAAGCAGATGTCAGCCACAGTTGCTGCAGTGAAGCTCGCTGACCAACTGCATCCTCAGGGAATAAGGACTTCTGTTATTTAAAAATAGCCCAGCCAGGCATGGTGGGACATGCTTGCAATCTCAGCACTCGGGAGGGAGGGAGGGAGGAAGGCAGGAGAACTGCAAGTTTGAACCCAGCCTGTGGAACATAGCAAGCTGAAGGCCAGCCTAGACTATCTAGTGAGACCCAGTCTCAAAACATCCCCTCAAAGAAAAAAATGACAGCTAAACTTCAAAGTAAAATATCTATTAAGACAGCTGGAAGGTGAACTGAGGAAATCTCCCAAAAATAATAGGAGGGAAAACATAAGAAAATTAAACTTCAATCTAGAGTCCAGCTTCCACCAAGCAGAAGTACTGCAAAGAAGGAAGAATGATAGTTCATTGTGGTGTCAACTTGAATAAGAAATACCCAGCTGATTGGTTTAGCATGGTTCTAGGTGTGGATGATGGACTTACTGAAGAGGGAAGACCCACCCTGGGTGTGGGTGGCAACAACCATGGGCTTATAGTCTGGATGGAAAAAAAAAATGGAAAGAAGATGGAAGGTGGTTCTCTTTCTCTGGAGGAGCTCCAGTCTTCGCCACTGCCTTTGGACATCTTGTCTCCAGGCTTCCAGCACCGACCCTTCTCTTGCAAGGGACTCTGCAATGAGCTCCGGGCCTTTGACTTTCAACTGGATCCTTTGGCTCTCTAGGGCACAGACAGCCCTTCTGCATACCTCCACATCTGACTCTATGGGGAGCCACTGTAAGCCTACCTTGTCTGTCTGTCTGTCTACCTATCCATCTCTTATATTAAACCTGTTCCTCTAGTGAGCACTGGCTTACATAAAAAGAGAAAGTGTGGAAAGGGAATTAGTAACAGATGTTATAAGAAAATTGCCAGAACTAAAAGATAGGTAAAACCAGATTAAAAAGCTCACAGAGCAGCCAAAACAATGAATACAGACACATAGTGGTGGACTCAAATTCCCGGTCAAAGACAAGATCTCAAGATGTAAGAGGCCCTACAAAGGACCAGGCAGGGGAGCTCTGCTGTTTTCTACAGCAAACTGGAGGGTGCAAAAATGTAAGAAAAGTAACACATACAATTTTAGATGAAAATTCTTTCCTGAATTCTTTCTGAAAATTCTGCTGAATCAATAAATCTTGGAGCTTGGGAGAGAGGGGGAGAGAAAGAGACACAGAGAGGGAGAATGCAAAAACAATGTGCTGATATGTGGCTTGTGAAACTGCCTGAGTGGTGATGCTGCCCTCTGGGAAGCCAGGAAGGATGAACAGATCATGCTGGAGACCCTTGGCTTGCCTCGGACGGTTTCCGTGCATCAGTTAATGCCAGTGCAGAGCTTTTGTTTTACCTCTATTTCCTTCCCCCAAAGCAAAATTTACTTCTTTTATCTACTTTACATTTTTCCGGATTTACTGAGTTTTGGCACTTACTGGTCAAAGTCAGTAGTCCAGGTTCATATTCATTTGCATCATTTAAAAAAACTGGTGACAAAGCTCTATGATTTTTATGCATGGATGTGTGTTGTTTCCAGGTGTTTTCTCTTGACCTCCCCTGGGACTAATGATTGTTCCCTATGATCAACAACATAAATGGAAATCATAAAAGTGGGATATTACAGTAGGATGACGCCAAAACATCCAAAGAGCTGACTCCTGTCTTCACCCTAAGGTGTGCTCTAAGCAATTACTACACCTGCATGTGACCCTGGGCTCTGAGGTATCTGATGCTATCATAGCTGAGTCCACGCTGGTGAACCTGACTGCCACCCAAGTCAAGGTCCTGGAGTTACAGACTGAATGGGAGGAATGTGAACCTTGAATCCTGTGGACCAAGAGGCAGCCAGCATTGTCTGTGCTTGTCTGGGCTTCAAGTTCATTTGATTGTTTCTTCAGAGGAAGAGGGAAAGGCAAGACAGATGGCTGAGCAGTGCAGTCTACTTGATTCATGCCTACAAACTGCATTCTTTAATAAGACACTATAATTTGAGTCTTGGAGGAAAAATATTATATAAATGCATAATCATAACTAATATTTGTGAGAGTGATGGCAAAAACCTGTGCATGCATTAGATTAAGGAAAGGCTCACTAAAGAATCATTTTGTTTCCTCTTTTAAATATTAAAAATTGGCATTGTTTTGCCCTAGTTAAAATGTAAGTGCTCTCAAAGAATGGCTGTACTGACACTGTCACAGCACTGTTTTCATGAATTATATGTTTTACTTCTCTAAGATGTCAAATACCACTGACTACAATGTAAGTTCCAGATCTAGTCAAATGTAGTCTTGCTCCACAAACATGACAAATTCCTCAAGGAATTTCAGCCAATCTTCAGGAAATGGGCAGAGGTGTGAAAGAATTACAAATGAGCCCGCAGAGGTCCTCTTGATGCAGCACCACAGAGGTAGGTTTGCATCTGCCCTTGCACTTGCCCTCTCTCACCTGGATGGCTCTTGCACAGGGCTCCAGACAGGACACTCCAGCTCCTCTGAAGCATCCAATCTGGGCTGCTAGGGAGCAGCGCAAGGCAAGTATCTCTGGCCAGGAAGTAAGGGCAGTGGAGACCTTAATAGGTTAAAAAAGACCTCACACAAAAATACATTTCTGAGAAAATCGAGCTGCTAACCTTGTGTGTTTAACTGAAAACATTTTTCAAGAAAATGCCTAAAGTCTTGTTTGCCTACAACAGTATAAAAATTTAGATCTCACTGATACACAAATGTGG